AGTTTTAGTAAGAACAATATTTTATTCTATTCCAGATTTCAAAACTATTAGGCATTGTATAAGTTTCATAAGACTGTTAGCTGAATTTTTTAAGTAACAGCAATAGTTTCTTTCTCAACCATTTTGGACAAACGGAGTTTATTTTATCCAGAGAGATCAACTTGAAGATTACCTGGAAGACCCCTGAGTATATATATTAACAATCACAGTTTTACAGTAGCAATATTACTTTTGTCTTCCTCTTCAATAAAACAGATGAAATAAACTATACTTTTATGATTTTATTTAAATCCTTGATTTAGAGTAAAATTCTCATCTTCCTGATTACCTGTTCTCTTTGAAATGATTTACATTGCCTAATACAGTGAATGTTGAGTAAGGAATTAGTACTTACTGTATTTAGTTCCTATCAAAATACATAGAAATCTTTTCATCTGGGGGATAATGACATCCTAACCTGATGTCTTTTGTAATCTTTGCAAATACTCCAATGAACAGCAGGGGGAGTTCAAACTCCAGTAATGAAGGTAAAATACTTCCTAATCCAAACCACTTTTAGAAGCAACACAGCTATGTTTACGATAAAATAGCTTGTTACACTTTTTTTTTTCAGTCCTGAAAACCTAATGTCCTCTTCTCTCCCAAAGGTTGTTGCAATAATGTTGCCTGAAAAATGGTATTGCTTTTTAATGGTACCTTTGAATTTTTTTTTCATATGAAAGAAGTCTGCTAAATTAGATATTGTTCCACTGTGCCATTCCCAATATAATGGTAAATTTAATGACTGTAAATTTTTACCTTTGAAATTAAACACTGATCACAGTCAAAGGGTAAATGAATGAAAACTAAAGATGACACCATGGAGAGTTAGCATTAAAAAACATCTAGACCAGAGGTCAGCAAACTATGACCTGCAAAGGTTGCCTGCTGTCTGTTTTTGTAAGGAAAGTTTTATTGGCAAGCAGCCATGTTCATTCTTATTGTTTATTGTCTATGGCTGCATTAGCAGAATGGCAAAATTAAGAAATTGCAATATTGACCTGACTGAAAATATTTACTATCTGGTCCTTTATAGAAAAAGTTTGCCACCCTTGGTCTAGATATTTCATGAAGCCCTGGACAAGATATTTATTCTTCTCTTTTTAAAATTTTAGTTTTTGAAATCATACATTAAAAAGATGGCTTCAAATTTTACCAGTAAGAAAGACAAAAGACTATGGATTTTGAAATACTGTCTGTATGACACTTCAATCTGAAACTGGGAAAACATATCAGGGAGAAAGAAAAATCAACACATAATTTTGCTTTCTTTTTGTTACAAAAGTCATTACATACATTATTTTCTCCATCTGCTTGAAATTAAAAAGACAAACCAGTTCCTTTTTTTCTTTTCTTTTCTTTTTTTAACAAAGATAACAAATATAAAAATCTAGTCATAAACAGCCTTCAAAGAACAATTACAAACCAACTAGAGGGATCCACCTTTTGGAGGGTTAAAGAGTTAGGAACTTCAACACTTAAATTACCGCCATGTTGTTGATTTCACAATGGCTGCAGTGATGAGGAAGAGTGTATACAGCAGGTATAATAGCTGATTCCATCCTGTTGCCATCCAAACTGAACTTTACTCTCTTCAGGATACAAGAACTTGCAAATGTCTCTATGACACTCTTAGCACAGGTGTCTTCATCCCATATGAAAAGAGGCAGTTTCTGTGGCAATACTGGTTAAGTGCTTATCATGCTGCACTAATATAGTGCAAAAATGTGCCTTCCATATAGCAAAAAAGATGCAGGCAACCAGTTTGAAAATTAGGGAAAGTAGAAACATATTATTATTAACACAAGTAAATTAGTTTTCCAGACAATAACCACTATAAAATACTGAACTGAGGACTCTTTCTTCTAAGATACTAGTACATGTCCAGCATTCATACTTTGGAGAGAGACAAGAATATAGTCTTTTTTATAAAAGAGGCTTTGTCTCTGAAACACAGGTCAATAAAAGCTACCATCAACCACCAAGATGCTGAATTTATTTAATGGGTTTTCTGCTTAGCTTAAAGCTTATTTCTTATTCATTGTTAAAATTATTTACTAATAAGTAAATAATCTGACATAATAATGTGCATCACTCAATCGAGTATACATGTTGTTATGCTTGACTGTAGTATTGTAGAGATCTTTGTATAAACTCTTCATGCTAGAAAGTTTTACAAGTTAACACTGCAGACTGTCTTGTATCTGGCATCCTAACTGGCCAATTCCACCATTATTTTTTAGAGCTGAAAGTGGTTTTTTAGTTGGTAGATTTCAGAAAAGATGACATAAAACTCTCAGAATGCAGCATGTATTCAACTAAATCTCCTAGAATTCTCCAGGCTGATGGTCCATATGTAAGTGGCACTGTCTTGAATATCTCCAGTGGCAGTATGATTTTCATTCTTTTCTTTATGATGCTCTTTTAAACAGTTAAAATGCATTTTAATCCACACAGTTTGGATATTTTCATTGTGGCCTCTGGATATTTATTACAAAGTCAGAAGCTGAACCTGGTCGTTGCCAGGAAAAGTTATATGTTACATGTCTGCATCTCCATCATAGGCTAAGGTTAAAGGTTTCAGTCGGTTGTTTTGCCTTCTTTGGGGTTTCTTTGGCTTTTTGCTGTAAAAAATTCATTAAAATCAAGAGAAAGAAAATCAGTCTTTAAATGTAAATTTGACTGCTTGGAATGAAAAATAAAAGAAAGAAAACTAATAGACCTAAATTGCCTAATTGCTTACATTGCCTAAATTCAAACTTAGAATTTGATTTTCTGATCTCTTTGGATTGCAAGGTTTTATGCTCCGAATAAACTTTAAATAAACTTCAATTATTTTACTATCCTATAAAAGATAAGTTATTAGGTGGAATTCCTTTAGTAGTAACAACAGAAATAACATCATAGTATAATCATTTGTATTTGGCCAGAAACTTTTATAAATAACACATAATTTATAAATAATACATGTTTTAAAAGATAGTTGAAGATTAGATATTAACATTGTGTCTTTCTCCAGCAGTAATTCAATAAAAATCTGCAGTTCACCACAGTCCATAGAAAGCAACATTCCCTTGCATACTTGCAAGACAAAATACTTGAGAAGATGACACAGTGCAGTTCTGGCTCATCTACAGAAATAAATGGCTCAGATTTGGTAGCTATTAGGCCATCTAGGACTAATGCCATGTTTATTTAGAACTTCTTGTGAACACTAAATAAATGTGGAATACTTATTTGAGACGTTAGTTTGCTGGTTCTGTGTTATGGTCAACTGAAAGTGTTTTCTCTGAAATAGAGACATTATTTATCCCCTTAGAGTTTGAAATATTTAAACACTCACCAAGCTAGATAAATCATGGAGACGATAAAGATGAGTAACACAAATGCCCCAGCTGCTACACCATAAACCCAGGTCTTTAGTCTCCCATCTAAGAAGAATGGATATTAGTTATTAATTTATATTAGTTTGGTGTATAGGAGACAGTCTTTAATCATGACCAACAACCAGATACATATAATCAATTTCTTTCAAAACTCAAAATGAATTATTGCTTTGGCACCGTTAATGATTTAATGCAAAGCTGCTATTACGAGTTAGATGTGGCTTCATGAAAGATAAGTTATCAATGAAAATTGAATTGCAAGGTAATAAATAATGTTTGAGGTCAGATTTCATGTTTATGTCTAGACTTCTGTTACTTCTTATCTGAATTTTACTTCAGACTCAATACATGTGTAATACTATATAAACACTTTATTCTGAATTTTTAATCTATTTTGAGAATGGCAGTTATATAAAATGACAAAAAATAGTGCAATTTTAAGAAAGTCTGACAACCTAGAGTTGATATAGACAGGTCTTTAAACATCAGTTTTGTCATTTTAACATTTTTGTTCCAGATGAAATGAAAGTGAATATATTTAACTTTTGGAATTAATAATCTTTTATATAGTTTACATTTACAGTGTGCTTTAAAACTGGCTTGATACTATCATTTGCAAAAATAACTATTTTGATTAACATATATTAATAAAAGGATCTATAAATATTTTCTTTCCTACCTTTTCTATTATATGGAATTAGATATGACAGGATCTTTTCTATAATAATTTGGTTTCTGGTCTCATTCTCTTTGAACATCTTAGTTTTATACTCTGAATAAACTTCAGGCACAAGATGCTATTAATGATGCTGCCTAATTTAATTTGATCCTCATATCAACACACATTTTTTATTGCATACATCTGATTAAACATATGATATTAGTGTTAAAATTATAGATTGGGCAAATTGAACTCATGGCCACTCTGGTTTATTCAATATTTGAAAAGCTCCAAAAGCAAATTGGTACTGTGGAATTATTTTTCCTGGAGCTATAACAAGTTAGAGGTTCATTTGCTAGAAATAAATTCCATTAGTATTTTAAATATCCTTTCTTTTTCATCTTAAAGATTTTTTTTTTTTTAATTTGAGGTGAGTTTAGAATCAAAAGAGCTGCTCCACTGTTGGTTTCTCTGCCCTGAGAGTTCTTCAACAAATATTGGGGAAACTATATTAAATTAAAAATTATGACAATAAAGTCATTGTATTTTTTTTTTTAAAAAAAACCAAAACACTGGTTTTGATGTGAGGCGGTCTGTTGAGTTCCTTGTCAAGGCCAAGATTGCTACTGGTCTTTGCTGATCCACTGTCCTGAACACTGAGAGAAGAGTTTCCCATGGTTACACAGATAAGTCAGCTTTGCAAAATAAAATATTTTCAGCTAAAAGCCTATCCAAGGCTTTGTTATGGTTAAAAGCTAATTACCCAAATATTTAAAATACTTTAAAAATCCAATACTGATTCTCCAAAGTATTTTGACTTAATGTATTTGAAATAGAGACGTGTTAGTTATGCAAATTCCATCCTTCTTTTCTCGTATTTCTAATGGAATTATAAAGTACACTACATCTGGCTCTACCTGGAGATTTTCTTTAGTCATGACTAGTAATTCCTCCAGGGTGTGAGAAAAAGTGGCATGATCTTAGCTGCTGTATAGCCCTTATAGCACATTTTCAAGCACCAGGTTAGCGGTAGGAATGACCGTATGATTAAATCCAACTGGGGAGAGAAAGCATGCAGAATAGAGAATAGCATATCGTTAGGTCTTCAAGCTTTTGCCTATATTGGCTTTAAGTCCAATTACTAAGTCCAACTTACTAGATACATTAAGAGATGTCTGTTTATTATGAAAAGGTCTGGTCAGCCTCTGAGTTTGGATCATCTCATCTAGAAGGGAAGGCTCCATCCCTGCCCACGTGTATTTGGTGCTAGTACAGATTCTGAGTATTTGAGTCTTAGGGCTGATAAAAATTGATCTGACTACCAAGGGCTCCCTGCAAAGGACTGCCTTCCTGATGTTCCTATTTAAAGTTCAAGCTATTACCATTCTTATGATCAAACTAAAAATTCTAGAATGACCTTATACTCTCATCTGTCCCAATTCTGAATGATGACACATTTTTTTCCTGATTCAAATTTCCATTGTTAGATTTCTTTGTTCAATGTAAAATTAATTATACTTGTAACTTTAGGACTGGGATTAAGATAAATAATATCAATCCCAAAACTTTTCTCAGAAGAAAGTAATTTCATTTTTCTGAACTTTGAGCACGAGTGCTTTTCACAATAGTAAAAAATAGAAGAATAGATGGCAATATCGAATAAATGCATATAGATGAAATAATAAACAGTTCACATGAAAATGCTTGCTCACTTTTTTAATCATTTGGCATTAGCTAAATGTATAACTAAGGAATTCTACATCAACACTGTCCAGTCACTTCACCTGGCCCAAATGGCTGTAGAAACCAGGTCCTTCCCCGTCCTGCTGGGTTACTGGAGGGTTGGGTTGGATGTACTGCTCGACTGGTTTTCACATCTCCTCTTCTGTCCTCCACGGTGGGTATCACCACCACAGGGATAAGTGTGCATTGTTCAAGTGTGCTGTTAGAAGACATGACTTCAGTGTACCCTTCTTCACAATGGCATGTTTTTGTCTGCAGAAGAAAAAGAAGATTGGCATGCAAGGTAATCTCTGAAAGCATAACAGACCCAACTCGAAGAGAAGGCTTTAAAGAAGGATTGTTTTGGAAATTTACTACAAGTAATCTCTGTCTTTATTACATAAAAAAGAACAAACTTTTTGTATTAAATATTATACAAAAATGTATTCTAAAAGTGAAAGCAAGTATATTCAGAATCGTTTATATTGATAAAAGGAGAGGTCTAAAATAGAATTTTTATGCCTCAAGACATGCTTTTTCTTGGGGAGGGGGATCTATTGCACAAGAGACAGTAGGATGACAAAGGATGAAGCTGGCTTGTCTGCCCTGATGCATTACACATACCTCGCTACAGTACGAGTGGGGTTGACTACACGGTGGGTTACAAGACCTGTCAGTGTCAGGCTGGCTCAACACCAAGCAGCCCCCTGCAGAATAGAAAATCATTATTTTGACAAATAATATCTCTAGCTGAGATAAAAATACACTGCTGTTAGTGACTTGTCTTTGAATCTTGAACGACTTTGGGAATCCCATGGATTTTTCCGTTGGTGGTTGACTGTAAAATATTTGGTTAACCTTGACCGTTTATTTAGCAATGTGAGGCCCTTCTTACCCAGGAGTAAGAGCACAATGCCTGGTACTTACCAGGTATTCAATAAGCATTTGCTGAAAGGATAATTTTATAGCTGCTATTTTGAAAATACTAACTATATACAAACTATTTCTGTCACGAGTTCCTGAAGCTAAGTCCAGTAATTGAAAAGCAGTTTTAATTTTTTTTTAAAGTTAAAAATCTTTCTTGGTTATTCAAAACAATAGTATTCATGTCCCTTGAGATAACTCTTTAATTTACGTGACCACCTCATAAGTGTATTTTTTATAATGTATATTTCTTTTTGAGTAAAATCACTCCTCCTGTTAATTTAGGATATTTTGGGGGTAGAGAGAAGAAAATAAATGTGTAATTACCAAGTCATTTGTTTTGCCCTATTGTTTTAACTTGATATTATAGCCATTTATCCCTATTCTTTCATTTTTGTTTTCAAGTAGAGTACCATTTGGGCCTAAGTTGTTGTAAGTGAGGTTTAAGATGGGAACAGATGTCATAAAGAAACATTGGAGACATGAAAGAAACTCATATTTTCAAACTATATTTGTTCTGTTTAATGGAATGTTAGCAAAGCAAAGTTTTTCTTTATGGAACTGATGATCCTCTGGAATTTAATCCAAAGTGTCTATTGCTAATTCTTTATCTTTCTCTCAATATTATAAACAGAAAATATTCATGGAAAAGTTGTAATGGAAAAGCAGTTAGTCATTGCAAGGCAATTTCAGTTAATTGACCATATTGAAGTTATTATCATTAAACACATGAAAAAAAAGAAAAACAATATTTTGAGTTTCTTATAAGGAAAAATTCATAAATTAAAGCAATTGATCAAGGTAGATAATATAGTTTACATGCTTGCCTATTTCTCATAATCTCACCTCTCCTAAAAGATGAAAGAAGAATGCATCTAGAGTTTATTATAAATCATTCACACATTGGCTTTTTGGTACCAAACAGTATTAGAAAGAAATACCTTGGACACTTTGCTCTATTAAAAAGAAATTAAAAATATGGTTTCTATAGGTAAATCTTTTAAAATCTAACTTACCTTTGCATGAGGGAATAGCCCCAATTGCAGTGGGAAAAGAGCTTTTAACATTTAGGAGAAAGGCAGACAAATATTATTTGGATCTGGAAAAAAAATTCAAACTCATACGAGAAACTGTTAAATTGCCTCTGAATCATTTAAAGAAGAATGGAAACATTCATTTCTAATCTCTGAGTTTAATGGATGACCTCTATTAATACCTCTTGTCCAGGGCTCTTCTTACCCCACACCTCTTAGAGTGGGGTGGTTGGGGCAGATTTTTCTCCCAAATAATAATACCATGAGGACCAAATGGTTTTCTAGGAGTTGTCTTTTCTTTGTTATGTGGGTGTCCTCTGGGAGCTGCTATTATCAAGGACTTCTTAACACAGCTTTCTCATGTATAAAATCATATCTTCACAAGAATACAATTTGACATCCTGATCCAGTTTCCATAAGGATGAAATAAGTAATTAGGCTTCAATAAATCCAGGTAATTTAAAATTCAATATAAAAATTGATAGTTTTCAAAAACCATATTGATCTTGCTCCTGTTATATTACTGCATATATTAAAGTTAAATTTATAAATGGACATCGCTCAGAGGCATCCAAATGCACGTTGCATTTTCTCCCCACAGGAGGTTCAAAACGCAGCAGCGAGTTGACAGGTCCCCCAGAGCAGGTAACTGTCAATATTCCTGCTGCTGCTATGCTATGGCAACTCCTGTAGATTATATCTATAAAAAGAAATTATTTAAGAAGAGGCAGTAAGTCCATGTGCCTGGGGTTGAGGTTCTGGTTCTGACCTTCATTTCCTACTAGGACATTTGCAGGGTGGTTCACTACCTAACTGGAGCCGAGTCTTGTCCCCTTTTCAGGGGTCCTTGGGATCCCTTGCATCTCCTGGGCTCAGATACAGAAACTCTTAGCAATGGCAGGTTAGAGTAGTTCCTCACACGCATATTTAGGTCAAGTACAATTTAAAAAAAAGTTCTTCCTTTGGGTTTCTTCTTCGGATGTAGGATAATTTCGGGATGAGCTGCTCAGATAGTCTGGGTTTGAGATTTGCCAATAGATCTTCCCTCTTAGTTAATTAAAAAAAAAAACGAACCCTCTAAATCGTAGATTTCTAAATTCAAGCAAGATATTTGGATTTGTGTAATCCTACTCTCTTGGTAACATTTTTGGTTTGTAATTGTATTGCCTTCAAGGCACAGAAGCAGAAACAGTAAAAAAAAATTGATTTTTTTCTTGACATGTAGTGACTTATTAATATATAAAATTTTCAGGAAAAATAACCTGGAAATTATTTATGTATAATAAGCATTTATTAGAGTTAGACAGTATTTTAATTAAATAAGTTCCAGCACTAATATCTAACCGGGCTAGGTGAGAGAAAATTTGAAACATTATGAAATAAAATAATTTGTTATTGGTCACCAGACAGGTATATAGCTTAGGAACCCTGAATCCCAACCAGATGTTGAATACTGAAAGAGTATCTTAGTTTCCTTCATTATTTTCTTTAACTAATTACATGTGTGTTAGGGGAAGACTTTCAAAGAACAAGGAGAAATTGGAGGTTTACCTGTTACATTTACACCATCTGACCTTTGACACCAGACTGTTCGGGAAGAGCCCTTCCAAGCACTGGCCATCCACTTATACTCATAACACTGTCCATCTGCAGGGACAAGATAAACATTAACAGAAGCATTCTGTTACCCAAAAGGGTAATCATGGTGATACAGTATTAATAAAATATTGATGAACAACTGAAAAGTGACAAGCAGTCCATCTCTTATGATTCAAATGTCAATTTATTGTTCTGCAGTTGCCATGCAAATGTTATAAAATTGCAGCTATATACCTAAATCCCAACTAATTTTCTATGTCTTCTGTCATACCATCTGGGGGGAATCTGGGTTTTTAATTTTGCTTAATTTTTAAAAAAGTATTGTGAAATATCAAACATACTGACAAGTATGGAGAATAAATAAAAGAAATATTCAGTTACCAATCATGCAATTTTAACAAATATTACCATTTAGCCATATTTGCTTTAGTTTTCATTTGCTTGTTGAGGAATAAAACACAAGAAATAAACTTGGCATCCTATTATATTCCTTCCCAATCTCATCTCCCTCTGTCTGTCTAGCATTACACACTCTTCTGAACGAGAAGTATCACTTCCTTTGCCATGATTTTAATTCTTTTACTATATATATATATGTGTGTGTGTGTGTATAGACACACATCATGTACACATAAATGATATATAGTATTATTTTTATGTAGTCTTAATTTAAAAAATATATCAAATTCTATATATTGTTCTGAAACTTAATAGTCAGTGTCACAGATGAAATATTTCTATGTAATTTTTAATGTAGATATAGTCAATTAATTTTAACTGCTACATAGAATTCCATTGTACTAAATACCATAATTTGTTTAGCTGTTTCCTCTCTTATGTTGTTATTAATTTTTGCTATTCAAACAAAGCCTCAGTGGTCAACCTTATGCAAGTCTCCTGGTGCTTCCTTAAGGTAAATAAATATACAGAGGGAAATTTCTGGGTATCATTGTATGCTTAGCTGAAACTTTATTAAATATTATTCTTTTTTTTTTTCCTAAAGGTGACAATTTACACATCCGCCAGCAGTGGATACAGATTACCACTGCTCTAAATACTCACGAACATTTATAATTGCCAGATTTTAATTTTTTTGTCAGTCTTGTAGGTATGGAAAGCTATCTTGCCATTTTAAATTGAAGTTCCTTGATTGCTGAAGGTATTAAACAGTAACACAAATGTTTTGGGGCATTTGGATTTCCTCTTAAGTGAATTGTTTGTTTATATCTTTTGGCCATTTGTTTTTTCCCACTGACATCTACGCCTGTTCTCATTGAATTGTGGGAATTCTTTATATTGGAATAGTGATTTTCAAATTGCAGTTTAGAGACCTAGGGAGATCTTGACATTTTTTTTTCAGAGTGTGTGTGAGGATTTCTCCCTTTCAATTGCCTATCTGTGTAAGGCTGGATTTTCTTCATATACATAAACTAAAATAAGATTGCAATAGATTGAATACAGAAGCAGATAAGAGAATTCAACATCTTCCTTAAGTCAGACTTTATATAGAGATTTGCAAAAATCTAAAGAAGACCTCTCTTGTTGTTAAAGTTATTTTCTTTTTGTTATGGGAAACTTATTTTTTTGGGAAATATGCCACTTATAACATATAATTATTTTATGATTATTATTTGAAACAAATTAATAAACATTTAAAACATTTATCAGTTTTCTACTTTTAAAATTGTATATATCTCTCACAAAAGAAAAGCTCTTTGGGATTCTCAATAATTTTAAGACTATAATATTGTTTTGGGCCAAAGTTTTAGATTTCTATTCTAGACACTAATCCTCTGAAATTAATTGGTTTTGTAAATATCTTTTCTTAGTCTGTGGCTTGTCCTGTAATCTCATTTGTGATCTATTTTATTGTGTAGAAGATTTAAATTTTAATTTATAAGAATTTTTAATCTTTTTCACTTTCATTTGTACTTTTGGTGTCATATTTAAGAAATCCTTCTCTACCTTGAGTTTATGAAAATATTCTCTCATATTTTTGTTAAGTGTTTTACAGTTTTAATCTTCACTTTAGGTCTATAATTTATCTAGAATATAGTTTTTTTATATGATGTAAACTAAAGATACTTTTAAGAATTTTATATGGATAACAAATTGTGGCAACATTCTTCATCCACTCATTTCCCCCAACCAACTTTCACTTTGACACTTACCTATATAAGTTAGAATTTGTCCCTGAGCTTATTCTGTTCATTAGTCTAATTGATTTATTGTTGACCAATCACTCTTTTTAACTATTAATGCTTTAGAGTAAGTCTTGATATAAAGTCATGTAAGTCCCTTGAATTCTTCTCTCACTTTTCCTTCCTAAAAACATTCTGGGATCTTCTGGGTCTTTAACCTCTCCAAGTTAATTTTAGAATCAATTTCTCTGATTACATTGGCAAAATTCAAATTGCATAGAATTTATAGGTAAATTTATATAAAATCGACATGCTATAATATTGAAGCTTTTTATCCACGAACATTGTCTATTTTACCAATGTTTTAGTTCTTTCTTTATGTCTTCCAGTAAGATCTTAAAATTTTTCCATACCTATCTTACATTATTTTTGTTAGATTTATTTCTTATAGTTTTATTTTTATTGTTAATGCAAATTTTCTCCAATTAAATTTTATAACTAGGTCTTTTTGATAAAAATGACTATTTTGTATTTTTTTAATTGTACAATGTTTCTGAACTCTCTTCTTACTTCTAAATACTTGTTTATAAATTCTCTTGATTTTTTAAATGTGAAAATCATACAATTTGAGAATGATGATTTTATTTTTTCATTTTCAATTATTAAAGTTTTGATTATGCTTTGGCTAGAACCTTCTCCTCCTGAGTTGGAAAGAAGTAGCAAAAGTGGGCATCCTTGTTTTGTTATTAATTTCAAACGAATGTCTCTAATGTTTTCCCATATATCCTGATTGTTGTTAAGTTTTGGTAGATATCATTTACTGGGTAAAAATATTTCCTTCAAGTTCAAGTTTTGTTTGTAAGTTTTATTGTGAATGAGGATTGAATTGTATAAACACTTTTTCAATATGTATTAAAAATCCTCTCTTTTTTCTGTTAATATGATGAGTTGCATTAATAGATTTTTCTAATATTTGGGCAACTTCGTATTTCTGCAATTAACTGTAATTAATCATGATATTATTAAATACATTATTGATTTTGTTAGTTGATATTTTATTTTTTATGATTTTGACATCAATTTACATAGGTAACTTGATTTTTATTGACTTGTTTTACTGTCAAGGTTATACTATCATAGAAGTTGGGGAGATTTTTTCCTCACTTTTTTCCCCACTTAACTTTGGTTTTTATTAGGGATTTCACATAAATAGAAGTTGTCTGTTTCTTTAAATTTTGGTAAAACTGATAGGTCAAATTTAACTCTGTCTGCATGTAACGTATTTGATAGATTTGAAAGTAGTGATATAATCCATCTTGTGGGTTCTGTATTACTCTTGATAAACTATAATAACATTCTAAATTTAAGTTTTTACATTTATTAGCAAAAACAATTCACAGAATTATATTTTTCTAAACTCTATTTGCTCTTTTTTCTTCATTGATTTTTACTGTGAGTAGTCTACTTTGTTAGTTTGCAAAAAAAAAAACAAAAACAAAAACAAAACAAGCTATTGGTTTTGTTGATTATCTCTTGTTTCTTTATTTTCTATCTCATTGAATTTATATTTACCCATACTGGTTACATTCTATTTCTTTTTTACATTAAAAAATTTCTTGAGTTGAAAGCTTAGGTCATTTTTAACTTTTCTCCCTTCTACAGAAACATTTAAAGCTTCAATTTCTCCTCTAAATACTTCTTTGCTGCATCCCAAATAACATTTGATAGGTAATGCTCTAGAAGGGTGGTTTTCGTTTTTTACTTCTGCATGTGCATGTGGGGATTTTTTTGTAATTCTGTTATCAATTTCTAATTTTATTTCATTGTCATTTTGGGGTGAATAATTCTCTTTCTTGCCTTGAAAGTTATTTCATTTATTAGAACCCTTGACTCTTTATCTACCTTGTCCTGGGTATATGGAATGTTTTATCCAGTTGGTAAATTTAAGCTGACAGAGTGGATAATTCTCTCTCATTCTTGGGTTAAGTCATTTAGGCCATTTGGTTTTTATTCTAGGTATTCTTCAACATTTTAAACTTTCTCCTCTAATTCTTTGATAAGAAAGATAATATTTTGCCTCTTACTTGCTATTGCATGTCATATCTCTTAATTATTTCAGAACACAAGTAGGAATAAAAAGGTTGTTTGTTGAGCCCCACATTCTCCACTAGATATTAATTCTTTTGTTTTCATTGATACTTTTGCTGTGTTATTCACAAACCATCACATGTAATACTCCATGGTTCTTGATGAATATGTCATATATTGCCTATATTAAGTGAATGATTCTATATATGTGTATACATACACACAAAAACATATAAACATATGTTCATATATGTTCCACATAAAATTTAGATTAAAATTATTAATTCTTACTAAAATTTGATTTATCAATTTCTGAGGATATAGTAAAATCTCTCATTTTGCTGTGGATTTGTAATTTTTCCTTAATTCTGTCATTTTATTTAAATGATCTATTTTATTGTGTAGAAGATTTAAATTTTA